ATATATATATATATATATATATATATATATATATGTGGGAACTGGAATAAAATAAATTTCGTAGAGAAACATAAATTATTTCTAACCGAACTTTATACAAATGTTTTTAAATATTTGCCTTTCAGATAGATGAAGATGACAATTTTAATATTAACGAGTTAAATTAACCATTTGCTGGTAAAATAGGGTATCGTCGGTTTCAATTTTTCAACCATTATGAAAAGATTCATCAAAAAGTCAATGTTACGTCTCTCTCTCTCTCTCTCTCTCTCTCTCTCTCTCTCTCTCTCTCTTGTTAGACGAGGGGATAATAGAAGCTAGGTCACAGGATGTACCACTCGCATGAAAAGGATAGTTAGTCGAAGCTCTAATAGCGAGTACAAGGGAGGATCATCACGAAAGTTGTAGTTTGCTGTAGTTGGCGACCTCGTTACATTATCGGCAAGTGTAATTATATCTCACCTATTAAATTGGCCAGAAGTAGATTGAAAATTTCAATGGTGAAACGTTTAAATCGTTCAAACATCGAGAAAATATTAAAAGTCTTCTTCTAAATTACGAATAAATATTTCCATAATCCATTTACTGTTTATCACTTCGAGGAAGACAAGAGAAGAAAAAGAAGAAGAAGAAAAGCAAGAAGAAAAAGAAAAGGAAGAAGAAGAAGAAAAAAAGAAGAGGAAGAGAAAGAAGAGGAAGAAGAAGAAGAAAAAAAAGAAGAGGAAGAGAAAGAAGAGGAAGAAGAAGAAAAAGAAGAAGAAGAAGAAGAAGAAGAAGAAGAGGAAGAAGAGGAAGAAGAGGAAAAAGAGGAAGAAGAGCAAGAAAAGGAAAAAAGGAAGAAGGTCAAAAAGGGGAAGAAAAGGAAGAAGGAGAAGAAGAGGAAAAAGAAAAAGAGGAAGAAGAGGAAAAAGGGGAACAAGGGGAAGAAGAGGAAGAAAAGGAAGAAGAGGAAAAAGGGGAAGAAGGCGAAGAAGAGGAAGAAAAGGAAGAAGAGGAAAAAGAGTAAGAAGGGGAAGAAGCGGAAGAAGGGGAAGAAGGCGAAGAAGAGGAAAAAGAGGAAGAAGAGAAAGAAGGGGAAGCAGAAGAAGAAGAGGAAGAAGGCGAAGAAGAGGGAAGAAGAGGAAGAAGGCGAAGAAGGCGAAGAAGAGGAAGAAAAGGAAGAAGAGGAAAAAGAGTAAGAAGGGGAAGAAGCGGAAGAAGGGGAAGAAGGCGAAGAAGAGGAAAAAGAGGAAGAAGAGAAAGAAGGGGAAGCAGAAGAAGAAGAGGAAGAAGGCGAAGAAGAGGGAAGAAGAGGAAGAAGGCGAAGAAGGCGAAGAAGAGGAAGAAAAGGAAGAAGAGGAAAAAGAGTAAGAAGGGGAAGAAGCGGAAGAAGGGGAAGAAGGCGAAGAAGAGGAAAAAGAGGAAGAAGAGAAAGAAGGGGAAGCAGAAGAAGAAGAGGAAGAAGGCGAAGAAGAGGGAAGAAGAGGAAGAAGGCGAAGAAGGCGAAGAAGAGGAAGAAAAGGAAGAAGAGGAAAAAGAGTAAGAAGGGGAAGAAGCGGAAGAAGGGGAAGAAGGCGAAGAAGAGGAAAAAGAGGAAGAAGAGAAAGAAGGGGAAGCAGAAGAAGAAGAGGAAGAAGGCGAAGAAGAGGGAAGAAGAGGAAGAAGGCGAAGAAGGCGAAGAAGAGGAAGAAAAGGAAGAAGAGGAAAAAGAGTAAGAAGGGGAAGAAGCGGAAGAAGGGGAAGAAGGCGAAGAAGAGGAAAAAGAGGAAGAAGAGAAAGAAGGGGAAGCAGAAGAAGAAGAGGAAGAAGGCGAAGAAGAGGGAAGAAGAGGAAGAAGGCGAAGAAGGCGAAGAAGAGGAAGAAAAGGAAGAAAGGAACGAAGAGGAAGAAGGGGAAGAAGAGGAAGAAGGGCAAGAAGAGGCAAAAGGGGAAGAGGCAGAAGGGGAAGAAGGGGAAGAAGGAGAAGAAGGGGAAAAAGAGGAAGAAGAGCAAGAAAAGGAAAAAAGGAAGAAGGACAAAAAGGGGAAGAAAAGGAAGAAGGAGAAGAAGAGGAAAAAGAAAAAGAGGAAGAAGAGGAAGAAGGGGAACAAGGGGAAGAAGAGGAAGAAAAGGAAGAAGAGGAAAAAGGGGAAGAAGGGGAAGAAGAGGAAGAAGAAGAAGAAGGGGAAGAAGAGGAAAAAGGGGAAGAAGAGGAAGAAGGGAAAGAAGGGGAAGAAGGGGAAAAAGAAAAAGAGGAAGATGAGGAAAAAGGGGAAGAAGGAGAAGAAGAGGAAGAAAAGGAAGAAGGGGAAGAAAAGGAAGAAGAGGAAAAAGGGGAAGAAGGGGAAGAAGAGGAAGAAGGGGAAGAAGGCGAAGAAGAGGAAAAAGAGGAAGAAGAGGAAGAAGGGGAAGACGAGGAAACAGGGGACCAAGCTGAAGGAGACGAAGAAGGGGAAGCCGGGGAAGACGAGGAAACAGGGGACCAAGCTGAAGGAGACGAAGAAGGGGAAGCCGGGGAAGACGAGGAAACAGGGGACCAAGCTGAAGGAGACGAAGAAGGGGAAGCCGGGGAAGACGAGGAAACAGGGGACCAAGCTGAAGGAGACGAAGAAGGGGAAGCCGGGGAAGACGAGGAAACAGGGGACCAAGCTGAAGGAGACGAAGAAGGGGAAGAAGAGGAAGAAGGGGAAGAAGGCGAAGAAGAGGAAAAAGAGGAAGAAGAGGAAGAAGGAGAAGAAGAGGAAGAAGGAGAAGAAGAGGAAGAAGAGGAAGGAGAGGAAGAAGAGATAGAAGGGGAAGAAGGGGAAGAAGAGGAAAAAGAGGAAGAAGAAGAAGAAGAAGAAAACATTCGAAACTAATATCTGGTACCAACCGTGTCAGTCTTGTAATAGTAGAGGCAGTTGTCACGTCGCAAGGCGAACCATCTCCTCACCCACTTGTCCGTGTTCGAGGAGGTGGCGGATTTTCTCCACAGGTATCCGGAACAAAGCGGCGCCTCGTCGTTTCCTTCCTTGGTGCCGGGTCTGGACACCCGCGGCGCAAGCACGTTGCACGTCCTCGCCACTTCGAGTTCAAGGACGTCGGTTCCAGAGTGCGCGAGCCTCACCACTTCCGAATGGGTCGCATCCATCACGCTTTTTCCGTTCACCGACATTATAATGTCGCCGACTTCGAGGCCCGAGCTCTCGGCAGGCGTGTCGGGCTCAATCGCGGAAACGACCACCGGTTTCGAGCCGTGGATCCGGAAACCAAACTCCCCGCCAGCCTCTCGTCTCACCACCACTCTCTTGTCGCTCTCTGTAAAGTCATCACAATCAATTATTTGCCTCGACGCTTTTATTTTTACTTATCGCTTTGAAAAGAAAAATGAGAAGATTAGTTAGATTCTTGGTTAAATAACAATTCAAATTTACATTTTGTATGATATCTAAACGTTTATATTTTCTTGTAATTTTCTTATAGAAACTTTGGAGTGATAATAAGTAAATTATTCGTTAGGAAATATTAAAATATTTTTCGAGATGGTTGATGTAGGAATATTATATACGCATCAGAGAATATTATATACACATCAAATCTAATATGATCTATTCTAAACGGCATGAGAGATAAAGCAATATTCGAATTTCATTTGTTTCTGTGAAACTTTGAATTACGTACAAGTGGAGTATAGAAAATTGTTGATTGAAGATATTCATAACATATGAAAATGATTCTAATTAAACAGATTGTTTGCTATATCAATCTAATTTGAAAACGTTTTATCTTATAAACACAACAAGATCCATATTAATTAATTCTATAATTTAAATATTAACTTTATAATATAGTAAGTAACACGTGTAGATTTAATAAATTTATACGACACTTGTCAGACATTGTAGTAGATTTCAGGTGTGTCATCCATCTTATTTATCAAGCATTGAAACACGCAATATTGATTGCACATGATCGATTACGAATGGAAATTTGTGAGCAGAGCAGATGGTTCTGAATAAATTATGGAAGTCGTTTCTCTTGTCAAAATGATGAAGCTAATTGTCCTTTGCAATAATGAAAAGTATAATGCTTTTTATAATGATTTTTATTGTTACTGATTTCTCGAAATTAAGTTTAATGAAAATCAAACAGTTAGTTGAAAAATAAATAAACGAGAATTTATTTCTTAGTGGAATATGATTTTGCTTCTTTTTCTAATTAAATTATTTAGAGTGAAATAAATTTTTTTTTTAGAATTCTTGAGATAGAAAATATCCTCTTTCTTATTAACATTTATTACTATTACTTATAATTTACATTTTTAACATTTCTCAAACTTAATAATTTATCTAATTGAAAGTCCTTCTTTTTTTTATTTGATAAAGTTAAAGAAAATTAAAGAAAAATTAATGTTTTCAAACGAAAATCTATAATATTATAAAGTGAAATTTTATTTATTAATTTATAAACAATTAAAACTTGCGTTAAATGAAGATAAAATGAAGATAAAGTGAGACAGCTTTACTTTTGTTACGCTGTCACGTCGCACCGCGGCGCTCCATGTTGTTTCCATCTCGCTTCATCTAATGCAAATTTCAACCGCTTATAACTCAATAAATAACCTCAACCAACATTTTTGTATTTGTTTTGAATTAAACCATTCAATGTCCCACGATCTATCCATAATTCCAAATAAAATCTCACTACCCTCCTCTATATAATTCTCAAATCATATGAAAATATAAATATACCAAAAGACGAAGTATACAATCGCTAATCAGGATTTCCTCTCTCCCTAGTTTTTTTTTAATTACGATTTCTATCGAGCTCTATATACCCGGGCGTCGATGACCATAAGCGGAGAGAAAAGATTACAAAAGACTTTTTGTTCCTTTTAACCATCGTTAAAAGGCGTGTCACGAACAAACCAGCAATCGGGCGTGGAAAGAAAAAAGAAAAGGCATTGTCATTACCCTTACATCTCTTTGGCCTCGTTTTCGAATCCTTCCAAGGCGGTTATTTTTTACTCGTGATCCGCGTGAGATAACCGTGGCGATTTACTTGGTTTGAACTTTCGGCTGCAATTTCGTGGGGATATTTTTTGGAGAACAGTGCAGTCGTGAAATAAATCATTCTCCTGGGGGTGGAAAATTTATACGAAGAGTTTTTGGCCAGGATTAAGGGTTGCTCCAATTTCTCAAACCATATTTCCACAGCTGTCCGAGCTTCATTTTCTATTCCATATTGTTGCGTATTCATCAAATGGAATTTCATTCCTTTGTACATTACTCGTGTGAATCAAGTGGTTCGATAGATTACGGTGGAATTCTAGGGATTTCATTCTAGTTATATAATTAAGATATCACTCGGCGGCCGTTTCGATACGTGATTTTTGACTTTTGCAATACTTTTTACTAATGTAAATGCAATGAACAATTAAAAATTGTATGAAATTCAATATAATTCAAAGTAATCAGATTTAATAATCATCTATTGCAATTGTTATATATTTTCATTAATATTAATAGCTATTTTCTCGATTCTAAAGAGAACGCTTTAAATGCTTTCCCGCGTTCCTTACTCGATATAATCCTAGATTAATGCTTGGTAATTGTTTTTAAAGACTAAGGAAGGTGCACTTAAGGCGGCTAAACGAAGACTTTCGTACTTTTATTAAACTTTATAATGTATCAATTAAGAGTTGAGAAAGTATAGGAAAGCTATACGAACCGGTCTAGCGATAAAATTTCTTTAGGTATATCTTGCAAAGAAATTTCATGGTAATGCGTCAAATGGAAACTTTTAAAAAAATTGTCTAAATATTTAATTAATCTTTTTTAAGCAAGTCAAATTTTCTGTAAAAATCATGAAGGGAATAGAATGGATAGTGGAGTGAAACTCTTATTTGTGAATACTTCATACTATACCAATTTCACGAGTTTTAAAGTTTTTCCATTACAAACAACGTTAACAATCTACACTGTGCTTTAATGAAAGCTGAAACAACACCCGTAATTTTGTTTATCGAATTATTTATTTAAATTAAATAAATAAAATTTATTCGCAACAAACAAAAAATATCCCGGACAATGTTATTATTTATTCCACGAAAATATTGAACAAAAACAATAACTGTTTTCTAAAATTATCGATAATATAAAATATCTTAAAATTGATTGGGAGAATCAATCTTTATCGATTATCTCCATCTTCCCGATTACTTATCCAACATTATTATCTCAGTTCAACTTTATTTCTATTTAAAGTTATAATTTCCGATGAATTATGAATTTATTCCATCGCTCTTCCATTTCTATCGATCCTACGTTTCATTTCTCTAGATACTCGATACAATATGATTAAAAAATCTCATCAATATATATGAAATTGTAAATTAGTCGTATTAAATTAATATTTGAATCTCTCTCTCTCTCTCTCTCTCTCTTCGTTTCTCTGATCGTTATCGATTTTTGTTCGTGATTTTTGTATGGAATAAATCGAATTTAAGAATCATTTATTCACAAATGAA